TACAACTGTCATTGCCCCTGGGTCTGCAGGGACGACACTCCCATCCCCAGCCATCCTCTTACCCTTTCCCACTCCTAATTCCAACTCACATGCTCCAATTCCAAACTCAACAAATTCAATTCAACTCCAAACTCAAACCCAATTCAATTCATCATAAAGCAAGCGAACTTCTTCAGACCCCTCTTGCACATTTCATCAACTCGCCAATTGAGTATCCGAGTTCCTTTTTCAAAATATATTTGTTTCTAATACCACTCTGAGGAATTAGATTCCCAGAAGAAACAAAGATAGATACCACAGAAAGGAACTTTTTCGTTTTTATTTTTTCCTTTTCTTCAAGAAAAAGCAAAACCGACAAACTCCAGTTGTAGCTTGATTTGTGTCTCTCTTTAATGCTGCGTGAGGTTCTTAGAGGGAGGCAAGGCTAGGCAGGGGATGCTGAGGGTGAAGAAATAACTCAAATAAACATGAAATCGAATTGAAATGCTTTAAAATATGAACTTAGTTTATATAGAGTGAGATTCAGTGCAGGATAGTTATGGTGAGGGTCCACCTAGTGGCCCAATGAGATGACTCCATTGAAATAGAACTAGGGTAATGTGAGAAATTAGATTAGGGTTAGTGTGTTCGGTGGTGCTTGGCTGACCCACCTGACACACTGTACCGCGGATCCTTATTCTGGTTTTCAGTGTGTTCTTTTTTGTTCACCAAATTGGTTTCTATTGTATTATAATTATCAACAAGAAATTAGTCAACAAATTAATTAGCAGTAACTTCACTCTCAGAATCTTTATCTTTTTTCCCGCTTTTACTGTATTAATAAACTTTGAATTATGCATACTTAATAATTTAATTAGAAACGCTCTTAAACAAGTATTATTTACTGTTTCAATTAAATGACATTTTATAAAATTATTTATAAGTATATTATTAAAGAGAATTTCTCAAGTCTAATTGAAAGATCATCTATCTAAGTTTTATCTTGTTCATTTCTGATGTGTATTTTATATTTATATAAAAAATATCTATATTGGATTAACATATAAAAAACACTTTATCATAGATATTGCACATCAAAGGTAATTAACAACAGTGATCCATCAACTCATTTTAACATCAAAATTATGGAATGATATAAACGTGGAATTTGTGAAAAAAAAATAAAACCCAATAAAAATTTAAAATTTATTAGAACCACATATAATTAAATACTACAAATATGATATATAACTTATTATTTTTTTTATTTTTCAAATATATTCAACTTGTTAATACACTTTTATTTAATAAATTGTTTTACTTTATTCATACTTCATATGTTTCATTTACCCGTCAACTTCAAAATATCCTTTAATAGTGTGTATTGCACGTTACACTAAAACATTTTTGTTACTTTTACTTTGTAATTAAATATATTTAAAAGTCAGGTTAAAATATATTAAATTTAGGTTACAATATGGGAAATATAAGTAGAAATTAAGTTGGTAAATTATTATAAGCCTTTGTTACGTTCTAGCAGTAAATTATTGTTCCAGCTGACCTCTTTTTTCTTTTGTTTAATATTCTCTTAATCCTAATAAAAAAATTAAATAACCAAACAGGCTATTTTTTTAAAATGTGAATTGAGAAAGATTTAGAGCTGAATTTAAAAAGGTAATGATAACAAAAAACAAAATATTAAAGAAAAAAAAATCATAATTAAAAGATAAAATATAATAAACAAATAAGAATAGAAAAGATTGAAAAAGGACAAAGAGATTTAAGTAAACATATGAAAATTAAGAAAACCACGAGTATACGGAGATTAAAATAGAATGTAAATGTGAATTCTTATAATAGTACAATTCGAACAAATTATAGATAGAAATAAAGTTTATTGGTTGCTCTTTGGCTAAAAGAAGATAGAATAGTTCTATGGAATACACAAAGTAGTTTAAGCAGGTTTGAAACACAAGGCTTTAAATATTTAAATTCTGCAGAAAGATTTCCTTTGCATTTAAGCAAAATAAATTGATATATAACTTAAATAAAGAATCACAGTATTTCAATAATATATTTTGAAGTGAATAAAAATTAAAGTTTATAAATTTAAGTTAAATGTTTTTTCTTCTTTTTTATTTTATTTGAAAAATTTTGGTTATCAAAAAAGTTTTTTATCTTTATTTTTTTTTTTCACAAAGTTTCTAGTAGTAGTTTCCTTGTCATACTAATGAGATGAATTCAATGAAGAATAGATCGAGTTGGACCGATTGGAATTTGATTTTGGTAAGCATAATAATACATCCTTTATAAATAGTAATTGTTTAGTCATATGGATTATATGAGTTTGATGGTATGTTAAGATGGTGAGTTGTAATATGGATTATTGTGATACTATATACATTAGTTTAATTAACGTTGAACCTGAAAAATATAAATTATCAATTATCTGACGTCATTCAAGTTGGGGCTTACAATATCAGAAAGAGAGAATCAAGATTATTATTTTTTATATAAAATTACATTATTGAAGTATGTTAGAGGCTGAAATGATATTATTTATGACTCAATGGTTAATTCTAAATGCTTCAACATAGTGTATTTACATGATCCAAGCTACTAAAGTTATCAGTCCAATACATTCGATATCGAGATACTTGGAGTATTTCTCAAAATATTTCAAGTGAAATATATGCTTAAAAATATGGTTGTTACTTAAATAACTTAAATATATAATATAAGATATAATACAATACTAAAAAAAGTTTTGACGTATGTTATTTTTAATATTTAACATTTGTCACAACAATTACCTATAATAAAAATTGATACTTTGACATCATTTTTTTAATTACATTTTAACATAATTTACATGTTATTATGTGATTGGTCCAAAATTACTCCACAATCAATAATAATAATCATAAATACTAATATGGACCAATCACAAAATGATACGAAGATAAGTGTTAAAATGTTGTCAAAAAAATGCTGTCAAAGTATCAGTGAAAGTTTATAGTGAAATATCATGCATGAAAGTGCACTTTTTTATGTCCATTAATTTCAGAAATGGTCATTTTTATCACACCTAATATAATTTGTTTATATAAAGGTAAAAATTATAGAAATACAACACACCATGACAGGAACACTCAATCCTCTTATTGACTATTATATTTCTGCATTCTACAATTCCCTTCAACTTTTATTTACTTAAGTTTTAGAAAGTCTTCAACACATGAATCTTCTTTTTATTTTTATTTTTAAATTAAAAGTTTCCACATCAAAAGGTAAGAACTCAGCTTTTTACAGATTGACTCTGAGAGCCTTATATTCTATCTCATAGACACTCTATCCAAATTCGATAAGAGCACGTAGTGTTAAGCTATGTAGCACGTAACCTAAGCACTCTCAAGTGTCAAACATCTTAAAACAGAAATAATGAAGGAACTTTTTGAATTTTG